GATGAGCACGTAAACCCTGAACCCCAAACCCTCAATCCTGAACCCATAAGCTTCGTCAACATTTCATCAACCATGATTTTTGCTTATGGCCACTGCACACCCAGTGTACAAACTCACCAATCTTCCTAGAGAAGTCCAACACACACCGACCGAACACCATCACCAAATAAAACCCTTACTTCATATAAGCCCTGCAGGACACGGCTTGCCATGTCATTGTCGGTATTCTTTTTCACTTGCTTCTTCCTTGTTGGGGTAATATCCCTAAACCCAATGCAATCCCTATATGATCCTTACATTGTACATACATCACCCTTGAAAGGGGCCCCAACCCTCAAATGAACCAAAACCCTAATCCCCAAATCCTAAATCCATAAACCCTAAACACCAAATTCCCGAAACCCTAAACCCTAAAGCCAAAAACCCTGACTCCCTAATCCGTAAACTCTACTATAAATCCCTAAACTTGAATGAACCAAGCAGAAGGTCTCGGCGCCTCGAGTTGCAGTTCCAAGGTCACCAGGGCAACCAGGCCGCCTATCTTGGAGCCTCGGGTAAGGGTGGGGGGGGGGTGGGGGCAGGGTGGTAGGGATTATGTAGTGGTATAATTATAGGTATAGGTTTCAGGGGGTGGAGGGTTTGGCAATGAGTTTCTCAACGTCATAGGTCCTTTTTGGGTCCTTGCACTGGGGCGCCCGCTGTCATCAATAAGAGGGATCCGCCTTTTGGAATACCCCGCATGTAAATGTCAAGGGAACAAAACCTAAACCCTCCAAACTACCCCTTAAACCCGTGTGTGAACATTAATCCTGCAAATCTCCAAGCTCAAAACTCAGCAGGCAACGAACCCCTACCCTGCAAAACGCAACGCAATATCTCTGCCTGAAACCCTAAACCCAAACCCTAGACCGTGATCCCTAAATCTTAAACCCTAAACCTGGAAACCTAAATCCTAAACCCTGAACCCTTAAACACTATTTTAAAGCCTAAGAGCCCTGCCTGGAAAGCAGAAGGAGGTGGTTTTCAAAGTCTGCGTCTTCTGCGACACATCCATCCCACGTGCCTCAGCCGCTTCCAAGCTTGAGGAGTTTTCGACTGGGGATCGGGGAGGAGTTGTTGTGACGCCGCCCCCACTTCTCACCAGTGTCACAAGAAACTGCTATTTGTACTGCTGTTGCTCCTCCACAAGACGATGCTGTCATCTCACCGATTGTAGACGAAGTCCTTGTACTTCCTCGAACCCTGCCGACCAGCCGGCCACTCAAAGACAAATAACTCATGCTGCATAGCGAGCCTGCGCACTGGCCCAGGACTTAGGATTTATAGAATTTAGCTGCACGGTGCGGACCCTAGACAACTCACGCGAACCTGGTTTCTTATCTTGAAGCCGTCCCCCAACATGAATTCCACATAGACCCAACATGCATTTTCTGCACAGCCCCAGCCGCTCGTCCACCTGATGCAGCTTAGGGCGGGCCAGCCCACTCCACGCGCCGGAAAGGCGGCCGTCCCAATGGACCTTCCACATCAGCGCTTGCAATTGCGAGTCTCAAGCTGCAAGCAACATTGAAAGCTTCAAAGTTCTTCAGAAGCGCACGTGCCGACGTTTTTTCTGCAGCCTGGCTTTTGCCGGCTTGAAGAAGATCTGCTTAACAGCTTCGGATGAGAACAGGCCGTCAAGGATGACTTTTGCCATCTTGGCACGGAATAGGTCCTGTGAGCGCTGGGGACAGCATTGGGCAGGTACACTAGGCGTTCAATTCCGGGGGTACAGAGGTCTCACCATTCAGCCCGACACCCCAGCACTCCAAGACTCCGGAAAGCGTCCGGCCGCACGCATGGAAGAACCCCAGTGATATTTCTGTGAAGCCTTCTTCCGATTCGGGCAAGCCAAGAAAAGGCAAAACTCCAAAACAGGCGACTTTGTCGTCTACAGCTTGGATGCCGCATAAACCAATCCCAATGGATATCTGCTTGAAGGGCAGCTCCGCTGGTATCCCCCAGTCCTGGATTTGAGGCTCACCCCAGCACACTACTGTACCGTCCGACTGGCGCATGCCGCAAGTCCCAACTCCCGTGGATGAAATAGCCGAAAGGGGGGTTTCGATCGCGGTGGTGTCGGTCCGGCTGCTGGTGCTGCCGCTGCTACCCCAGCAGCTTGGCAGTCCATCGGACTGTTGGATTCCGCAAGCAAAGTTCTCATTGTCACCTCCTACTCCTACGTCTGCGTCAAAGGCTGCAATTTCCGTCAGCTTGATCGGTGGAATCTCCAGCTGTTCATTTTCCTCCAAGCCCCAGCAAAATGCTTCATCGTCTTCGTTCAGCGCGCAGGCTTGAAAGATCCTGACGCTTATGCCCTTGACGGCAACTGCTGGAATGTTAAGTGCAGAACTTGGTGTTGTTTGCCCCCCCCAACAAATGGGTCTGCTGTCCAACTGCTTCACACCGCAGCAGAAGTCCAAGCAGGCGACTTCACTGAGCTTGACCTGTGGCACTTCACCAATCGTGACAGGATTTCCAAAGCACTGGGGGAAGCCTTCCTGGTTCAGCGCACACGTAATTCCTACGCCAGCTGAAAATGTCCTGGTCCTGGCGTTGGTGATTGCTGTCGCGCTAGTGGTTGTGGCCATGGTTGTCGTACTCGTCGTGCTGGTGCGTCTCTTCTTCTCTTGCTTCCACTTGTTGGCGGTCAATTGCCGTCGAAGCTTGCGCTTCAGCAGCTTGCGCCTGACCGCTCGGCGGCTGTAACCGCCGGGTCCGGTCTCATTGGCTCCGATGCCTGCGTGCATCCTGGCCGGCAAATGATCAGTCAATGAACCTCATGCGCATATGCAACCACGGGAAACCTTCCTACGCTAACGCTCGAGTCACTAAAGCACCATGGTCTAGATCGCACAAAGCCAAAAGTCAGCAGACACATGGAAGCAAGGCAAATAAACTGATGACTGCACTGGGCATGTTCCACAGCACCTGCCCTCGCAGCAAACAACATTCTTAATCTTTCCAGTTCACGCTCATTTTCTAAAAATGCATGGCCTTCGGCTTCCATGTCGAAGTGTTTCAGCAAACCCTGTCCCGAGCTGTATGGTGCTGAAGCCGTCGCAGACTTCAGAGGCATGGCCAAACGCAACAGCAAGAGCGGCTAAGAAAGCTGTCAACTTTGCCATCCTTGACGAGGAGTGACAGCCTCGCAGCCTCTGAGAACTTAGGATTCGGTGAGGCGCTGGAGCCAAGGCCGCGGGAGGAAATTGGAGTGGACAGGTCTGTACGAGGTGGACTTGAATACGTAATAGTTAGCATACCATGTGATTTGCCACTGCTGAATTCACGTTTCTACCAGCTGACATGAAATTTGCAAGTTTGGCTGCAACTTCAAACTGCGATGCGACCACCATTGTAGATGACCCCAAGTTTTAGAAGTCTTGCTACTCATTGCAACTGAAGAGACGAGACGAACTGCACCACTGCCAGCACAGAAAACTACTGCAACTTGGCCCTACGGTAGGTTTTTGCTCTAAACCCTAAAACCCTACACCCTAAACCACGCTCTGCAAGACTGCCCCCAGGAACATGGCCATATTATAAGCTGTCTACTGTTGCAAAAGCTGGCCTCCTGCACCCAAAGGGTCCAACTTACACGACCAACAGGGATGTGTTCTTATGGTCAATACCATGAGAAACTACGGGCTTGCTGTTAAGGAATTTAGATATTAAGTTTCCTATATTATGGGTATATGGTAAATAATAGAGTATCATAATCAAAGTAACTCAATTTAAGTTCCTTAACAGCATCCCAGAAATTATGGTGCCAATATTAACTATCAATAGTATTCTTGCTATTAGTACTACTAGTATTGGTCCTACTATTGTTACTCTTAGTACTATTTTGACGCGCGGCCCTCGCCTCGACGTTGACAATGTCCACGCTTGCGCAAGGCTGCTCTCGGGGCCTTCGTGAGCACAGGGACGTTAATGGGAAACTCCAAAGCAGGGAACCCCAAGAATATAGTAGCAATAGAATAGGAACAGAAGGACCCTGGTACGTACATTCCTGTTCTTTTCCTACCATGTTCTTGGGCTTCCCTGTTTTGCGGCTTCGCATCAAAGTCCCTTCAATGAGAGCTTCTCGAAATCAGTGTACGTTTTGGAAGTTACAAAAGTGCTGCACGTCAATTACGCGGGTTCCAGAATCTGCCTAGTGATTGCGTGAACAGTGATGTAGGGATTATGGAGATTGCTGAAAGCCATCCCTCTTAAGCAATCATGTGATGTTGGAGCATGCTTTGTCATGTCTGTTGCTTTCTAACCTCAATCTAAGAAGCGAAGCTAGGTCTTGCGCACGATGTTCAATTTCTATAGTTGTCTCATGTGTCTCGTTCCACAGACGTTGTAGCTCGTGGCCAGTACTTGCACAAACTAAAACCACCACCACCGCCGCCGCCGCCGCCACCGCCACCAGCACCAGCAACGAAGCCCCCCCTTAAGACCCTGTATATTCCCCCTTTAGGTCCCCCCCAACCTAATGCCAAGGAATGCGCTCGGTGGAAGGGCTCCTGCTGAAAGTTTCATGGAGGGCTGTGCAAGCTCAGGCCTAGTGCCTGGCGGGCGCATCCATACCCTAAGCCCTAAACCCAATTTAAAACCCTATGCCAATTTTAGGGGTTGAGGTATTGCGCAACGCATTTCCTCCCTTCGAAGGTTATCTGGTAGGTACTGGAGGTATTCCAGAAAGGGTCGATGGTCAACAGACCCTTAGCACTGGTCGTGCTCCGTTGCAGAAGGTAATTAGAATCCAAAGCACTTGTATTGAAGGTTCATGGAATTTTCTGGGATTCCACAGAGAATCTATACGGGGGAGAGAAACAAGTTCGGCTTCATTCAGAATTACAAGTAGTGCAGAAATGCTCTGAATGTGTTACAAGCACTGCAGGTGCAACTCAAATCCAAATTATGACTCAACTGCCAAAACCCACAGCTACCCTAAACTTTAAACCCCAAACCCTAAAACCTAATGCCTAGCTGTCCATAAACCATGGTCCTTCTTGGTCCCCAGGAGACCTTAGGCGCAGATGTCTCACCACAGGAATTCTAAATCTCCTACATTGTATTAAGATGCTCTCCAATTGACAGCCATATCGCATACCGCTTGCCCTGTTTATCCCACGAAATTGTCCTATGCTGCAACCCATACACTGTCCATGATTCCCACGACTTGCGTGGAAGTATCTTGAGGAACAGGCCTTCAAGATGCGACAGGAGCTCTGCAACCAGCTGGCCAAACTCCTGACAAGCTGAGCTCTTCTGTCCTACTAAACTACACCTCCAAGGAATGCGCAGACCCACGCCTGTATCCAGAAAGATGCTCTGAGCTTGGGGCCATTCTCCCTTGCAGTGCCCACAAGAGGTACTATAGGAGTTGTAGTAGCTCCGTAGCAAATTCCCTTAACGGCTATCACTATTAGGGGAATGGCCCAAGCAAACATCCGGAACGGACCCTACATAAGAAAAGGAACAAACATGGAGTCCAATCTTGCAGTACAAGCTCATATCATGCGAGTATGGGAGTTTCAGAAAGGTCTTCTGACGTCTTCCTTCAGCTGGACCGCATACCTCCTTGGTTACCCCCATGTATGCTAAGGATCCAAGGTACTCCAAGTTTGAGAAACTCAAACAAAATCACCTGGAATAATGTCCACTGCAGCCCCCTAGACAAAATCCCTGCATTATCCGTGAGCCTCGAACCTCTCCATATATCTGGACATCATCCGTAGTATTCCCCACTGGGACACCCATGCACACTGCCAAGTAAATTCTCACAAAACCCCACCAGGATTCCAAGCCATAGTGGTAACCTTAACCATGACCATTTCACATCAGAGCTTCTGAAAAAAAAATGCACCCTTCAAGCGCAAGATCCAAAACATGAATCAGGCATATCATTCCACTTTCCCCTTGCCTAAGCCCTGAAGCCTGATAAACCCCAAGCTACTCCCTGCACCCTCAAGTCTGCACATAATGCCCCAACACCCAACAAAAAGGGACACGGGCCTAGTCACACGATCGCTATATGCTTTCGGGGGTTGGAGTGTGCAACAGCGCAACACCCCATTTCTATTGGGTCCACCTGCTTCAGGAGAACTTTGAGGTTCGCAAACGGCGCCTGCGTCTCCTCGAAAGACGATGAATCTATACAGCTATATTACGAAACGCTCGTATCGTCTGCAATAATAACTCTGGAGGGATGTAGGTCATAACCTGGTTGTAACTTCTAAAAAGTAGACATTTAGGAGTTCGGGTTTTGTCTGATATGCTTTGGCTTGGGAGCTTCTAGGGGCTCAGCCGCATGCTATGAAGAGCGGGAACCGCCTCTTGTGAGGGAGCATGGAGTGAACTTTCGCAATGCTACTTGGATGGTTACCGGACTACTCCCCCATACTCTCCCACCATACTCTGAACCCTAAATCCGATCATAGTAACCAGGAAGCATTTCAGCCCTAACTATATGCCCATAGTTAATGCTTCCTAGAGTTCCTGACCTGATTGCCCTGAAAAGGTTTGGAAGCTCAGTCTTATGCCTTGGTAGGAACAACAGCGTAGTAGGCCAGACGCGGGAGGTCCTAGCCTACCCAGAACTAAAACGGAACCTCACATGAGCAATAGTCTAAACTCCTAGTATCCCCCTTAATCAGCCCCGTAATGCTCCGCTATTGGCTATATAACGCTTGTTCAAGGAGTTCAGACTATAGCTCACATACCCTTCGAAAGGGCTAAAGCACGGCCCTAGCTCAGGTTCCATGCATGCTTTTCCGAGGGTAACTTTTAGGAAGCTTCGTGCCAGGTACCCAGGGCTCGTACGAGAATCAAGTAAGCCACCCTGTGTAAGAGCTCCTCCTCCAAAGTGCCTACCACATGGCTGCCAAATCGAGATAGATGCTGCTGTTTTGTAATCGAAACAGAAGCTGCTGTCATGATGGAGAGGGGCTTTGGGAGCATGACGATGCTCCACCTTAAGGACTCAGTTCTTAAGTGTGCCAGAGCTGGAATATCATGATATTGACTTCATTATACAAACGGCGAGCGACCAAAGGCATAGCGCTGAGTCTAGCGCCAACCTACGTGAATCTGAAAACTCGTCGCATGCTAGCTTTCATCTTGTGAGCCTCAAGTTTGCAACGGGCTGAATCACACTGCACCACTATTTATATATATATATGAATAAGCATGTTCATGAGAGCCATAGTCTAAACTCCTAGTATCCCCTTGATAAGCCCTATCGTAGACCCCTATATAATCCACCATATAACCCCTCTAAAAGGAAAATTCAGACTATAGTCCATGTACAATGTGGTGCTGGCTGCGCGCCAGGCCTACTTGGAGTAGATTCCTACAAACCCCCAAAAGAGGACAGAGGACGGCCCCATAAGACCAACCTTTAGAACAGAATTGCACAATCGGGACCCGATAAGTTTCATATGACCACAATGGGGTCCTGATTTCGGGTTCGGGATCTGAAGTCTCCCACTTTGTGCTAAGCACTAGTGCAAGGAATTTCCAAGCCTGCTGGTAATGTCGGTACTGTAGAAGCCAAGAGACCTACAATCACGTTTCGGGGTGTATGGAAGTTTCTCAAAAGAGGGGTCCCTTTAGAAACCGTCAAAATACGTAGAGGTTGTAACGGGGATTATGGGGGTCCTTTGTCAGGGAAGCATATGGAGAAACTCCCATTTTATAGTAAACAGAGATTTCCCAAAATCAGAGGTACCCTTTTGGGGGAGGGTACAATAAGGACTACAATCTTTTTGGGGTCCTTCTATTCTGGGAAACTACCATATGGGTTGGTATACTTCCTTAGCAACCCAGCGGCATTCAAGATCCTGTTTTCGCAAACTAACTGATCGTGCACTCGTCACCCTGTAGGGGCGTGGCGACCACTTCTCGCACCTTGTAACCCTGCTTAAGCCACTGTTGGACTTCCGGGTAATGCGACGGGCTAAAGCGCTTCCTCATTAAATCTGTGCCAGAGGAAATCAATTCATGAAGCTCCTCTAGAAGTGCCTGTTGAAACTCCTGCGCTGCGCTGTCCGTCATCCCTTTCAGGACATCTTTGGATCTTGCGCATACCCTTGCCACCAACTCCTTAAGAGACGGCAGGGTTAAAACGGAGAGCTGTGCGCTCCACGTGAGCGTCGAGTTGATGCAACAGCGACCAGAGACCTTTTCAGGGATGAGGAAAGATCTACTGAAGCAAGCTTCAGGGGCTTAGGGATCCTGAGGGTTTAGGGTTCAGGGCTTAGGAATTTTAAGGTTAAATTTAGGTTAGTGGATTATAGAAGTTCAGCTTGGGAATCACCTTGCATGGAAAGAGCTCGACCGGCTTTAAACCTCTCAACACAGATCCTAGAAGTTTGCATTACGTAATTAAGAAGGGGGACCAAATCTTGTTGTGACGACCTACGTAACCTTGTCCTAACATATCTTAGTGTATTATAGAATTATTGCATATTATAGTATATTATACTATATTGGCAAAGTCCTTAACCTTATAGCGCCCGGATCCTCCAGCAACCTTAAACCCCAAGAATCCGAAAACGCTAAGTCCTAGATCCTCAACGCCAACCCTCAAAGCCTCCACCCCGATCTAGTTTGCTAAGGGGGGATGACTTATTGGGTGTCACCTTCTACGAAACTCTAAAGGCTGTACTCAACAATCCCTGAGTGCTAAAAACCGCACTCCTAAACGCTAAGCGTTCTCAACAGCTCATCAACCATGATTGTTGCTTTTGGAAGTTCATGGCTTCCCCAACTGCCCACCCAGTGTACACACTCCCCAATCTGCCTAGGGAAGTCCAATGTAACCACGCTCACCGAACACCATCACCAAATAAAACCCCCGCTTCATATAAGCCCTACACGGCACCGGTGTCCATTTCATTGTCCGTCTTCTTTTCCACTTGATTCTCCACTGTTGGGGTAATATCCCGAAACCCAATACAGTCCGCACACAAACTCCTACAAATTTTCTGAGAGGGGCCCAAACCCTCGACTGAAGAAAAACCCTAAGCCCTAAATCCCTACATCCCGGATCCCTAAACCCTACATTCCCAAAGCCTAAACCCTAAATCCCTAAAACCTGATTCCGTAAACCCCAAAATCTTAACCCCCTCATGAACCAGAAGGTCTCGGCACCTCGAGGTTGAGTTCTAAGGTGACCAAGGTCACCAGGCCTCCCTTCTTGGAGCCTCGGGGGTTGGGGGGGGCGGTTGGGATTATATAGGGGGGGGTTTAGGGTTTAGGGTTATATAGGGATACTGGAAAATGCATGGAAACTACTATTAAGGGTTTAGAGTGTAGGGGGGATTTATTTGGGGGGAGTTTTGGGGGATTGAGGGAGTTTAGGGTGAAAGTGGGGTAAGGTTTAGGAGGTTTAGGCGTAGAGGATTTAGGGTGTTGGGAGGGTAGGCGGCGTAGGCTTCAGCGGGTGGAGGGTTTGGCAATGAGTTTCTCAACGTCATAGGTCCTGTTTGGGTCCATGCACTGGGCACTGGCCTGCTATTGTTCATACCAGGCATCCTCTTTTGAGATGCCGCGCATGGAAGTCTCCACCCACGAGAGGCCAGGGTTCAATTCAGGACCCCACATGACTCTCAGGCGCCTTTCAGGGCATCCCAAAGGCTGCGGGGCCTCCCTCTGAGGTTCCAGAAGGGTCCTAGAAGGCCCAGGATCCCAGCGCCTCCAAAAAAAGGCTCGATGCCTTCCAAGCCTCCCAAGACATCTCAAGAGCCTTGCACTCATGCCTCCCGGCGCCTGCCAGCCAAACCCTTCCAATGCTCCTCACAAGCTTCAAGATCTTTCGACAACGAAGACGAAAACATGAACCTAACTGAGTTTAGGCCTAAACCCTGAAAGGAGTAGGTTGGGTGGCTTGGCCGCCTTAAAAGGCGTGGGGTGGGTGAATGTATTGGGCAGCCAGCCACAGTTGGGCCACGGCAGCACTTTGCATGCAGCCATGCACTTGAAGAGTCGTTGACCCAATCATCACTGCTTGCACGGTAACTCACGGCAAACCCTGAACCCTAAACCCTGAACCCTGAACCCTAAACCCTAAACCCTAAACACTGAATCCTAAACCCCAAACCCTAGATCGCCTGGAAAGCCAATGGAGGTGGCTTTCAAGGTCTGCGTCTTCTGCGACACATCCAGCCCCAGTGCCTCAGCCACTATTTATTCAGGATGTAGGGATTTGGGGATTTGGGTTAAGGGTTTATAGGGTTTATAGGGTTTATAGGGCTTAGGGAGCATCGAAGCTAAACTTGAGCGGTTTTCGGGGATCTTTCATGATGCGCTGTTTTTTCTTGATAATACAGGATCCCACACAAACAAGTAAGGCCTCCTCACTGTCTATGGCGTTGCTAAAGGGGCTTAGGGGGACATGTGTTTAGTTGGCCCCCACCCACAGATCATCACAACAAGGGATAACGCTAGCCATCTTAGAGCCCATTGACAGTCCGAGTGTACCACGACTGTTGGGCGAGGGCGTAGCCCAAAATGCATCTATTTTTCTTTTCTTTTCTGCCCTTCTACTAAACCTTTCTGCGTCTGCACGAAGTGCGTGAGGCGTCTGAGGACACAAAAGATTCATCCATCTGGTGCCTGGACCCCCAGCGGAACTGGACTACGGTCCAACCACAGAGCAAGGTTATCAATGCGTACGTTTCTAGGGTTTGGGGGTTCTCCACTAGAGCACAGTAACACCCTAAGGACCGAAGGGATATGCAGAAACTCGCCGGCCCTTGATTCTGGGCTTGTCATGTACGGGGGCCATTAGCGGGAAGCTTCCATATGGGGGTATATCAAGAAAGGCATACCCGGAATGAATTCAAAATGCTTGTTTTGTGGGAAGACCGCAAGAGTGTACAATGAGAGCCGGAAACGCCAAATTCAGCTGGGTATTGACCGTGATATCTGTAATCAATTGCATTGCTGCGTAGTGGGTGGTTTGAGGATGTGTACTTGCAATCGCCATGTCTCCTGAGGAAGCATAGTTAAACCGCATTACATCGATTTTGAGCTACTTTTGCCACGTCCCGACTGGGTCGCGCACCAGTTCCCGGGTCAGCGTCTGGGAATGGCCCGGAGGTATTCTCTGTCCGAGGTCCTCTTCCAACTCGACAAGGCACCTGGCGACAGAGCTCATTTTGGGCGTGAAAAGCAACCTAAACCTCAAAGGTACTACACGGACCTAGGTAATTACCAATATCATTTTGAAGTCCATTTGAGGTACCATATACTATAATTCTACAAGGAATATGGAACCAGAATATTGGTAATTATTTAGGCTTTTACAGTAGATAATCACCCCAAAACTCCCCAGCAAAGGTCAGAAAGGCAGTTGTTCGATAGACTCGGGGTCCATGAAGTCGTACTCAGATGTCGTATATGACTCGGTTCTGGGTCTGGGGAAGCTGGCTGTTTCCTTGATACACCTGCCTGGCAAAGCACAAGACTGTCCATTGATAAAGGGACCCTAGGTGTCCATCCTCTCATAGCCTCTATATATGCCTATTAGGTGGACCCCCCACCTTATAATCGTGGTATGATAGGAATGTAGAAGGACCCTAGTATAGTCCTTATTATCCCTTATAGTCAATATTACTGGGTGGGGGGTCAGAGTCATGGCGAAACGGAGAAGTGAGTACAAGGAGAGTTGACAGACTCCTTACCCTTCGCCTTCTTCTTCGGGTGCAAGAGTGCCTTCACAGCCCTCCCGGGGCGCCTGCCCCCACCCAGCAACTGTTCTGGTACGGTCGGGTACCCCAGAGCCCAGAGGTCAAAAGCGGATTCACATTCCTACTGCCCCACTAGCTAGCGTGATCACCTCCATTACCACAACTCAGTTCAGGGGAAACCGCATTCTCCGTCATGAGGCTGTGCCGCTTACACTGGCTTACACCTGAGTTATGCCGCCCCCTCAACCGACTTTGTCTCAAAGCTGTGAACTCTCTCTCTATCCCCTTTCTCTCTCTAACGTCCCTACCAGAGAGGCCCCTAATACTGATGAGTTCGGGTTTCTCCTAAAGCCTAAAAACAAAGCCCGAAACAACACAACACACCCTTAACCCCCCCAAATAAACTGTACGCGGGTTATGTAGGGATACTGGAAAAAGAAAATGGAAACTACTTCCTTATAGTATATGATGATATTTTCTGCTATATTAGGGTATATATCCTTATAGAATCCCTTTACTAGACCCCTGTAATGCTAATTTTATAATATCCTTAAGATCTCAAGGTCTTCTGTAAGCCGGCCTCCTCACACCGGCCAAGCGTTCCCGGTGCGGCATCTTGACCACACCGCTCATCGACGCCCGCTGGGCCTGGCGAACTCAGAAGCACAGCGTGATACAGCTGATGGCTTAGGACTTGGGGTTTAGGGATTGCCGTAGGATTTAGGGTCTGAGGCTTAGGAGATAGGATTGATGTATGACCCTTACTAGCTTATGCATTTGGAATTGCGGTGTTTTGGTAGACCAAGGCCATGCAGGATTTTTTTTGTGTCAACCGCAATGAGGGTGGGCATCTGAGATTCGCTTGCTTGTGGCAGCTTCTATGGTTTACGGGGCTTTGATGTGCCGATGGTTCACATCGTTGAGTGTGCAATAAAATGCGGGTGCCTGGAGCTGCGCAGAACATGAAAAAACAATGTGCATGCAATGTTCCGCAGTTTATGTGTACCAAGATATGCAGCAATGCATATGCACTGGTTAATGTATGGGTGTATATATAGTGTAGGTGTAGAAATACAAACAGTAGCTTCCACGTCTTGTTGAATACACCCTAAAGCCTAAACCCTACGCCCTAAACTCCAAGGCCCTAAGCCCCACACCCTAAACCCTAAACTCTACATCCTAAACCCAAACACACACTCCCTTACCATGCTGCCTACCTTCAATAGTAATAGTAATACAGAAAGTATAATAGTAACAGTAACAGTGTTAGTAGCAATAGTACTACACTGCCGACCTTCTTGTCTTCCGTGAGGTCAGGGATGAGGTCCCCGAAGCGGTCGATGCCGAGCACAGATTTTAAGCCACTGGCGGCCACACCTCACCAGTGGCTACAGTCCCCCTTAAGTAGATAGAATATGGGGTATATGGGGATCTTCTTATAATATACCCAAAGCCATATTCTATCTACTTAAGGGGGATTTTAGGTAGGGAGTGGAAGAATAGACCTCTGGTTTTGGGTTTAGCGTTTCGGGTTTGGGGTTTAGGGCGTAATAGTTCCTATCCCCAACAAGACTTCTGCACACATTCCATCCATCCATCTGCTCCCTCGGTACCAAACCTGAGCCTAAATCCCAACCAATGCTCTTTTCATCATTGCATTTCATCCCTACATCTCCTACACCCGTTACCTAAACCTCAACCAATACGGTAATTTCCATTTGCAGAATTCTTAAAATAAATCCCTGAACCCTAAATCCTAC